GGGACAGTGTAGAGGGAGCTTTATTCTGTATCTAACCCTGTGCTGTCTCTATCCTCGGTGGGTTTGATGGAGACAGTGTAGAGGGAGCTTTACTCTGTATCTAACCTGTTAGATATGAACTCTTCACCTAACCCTGTCCTGGGAGTATTCAATGGGGACCGTGTTGTCCCTGTCCTGGGAGTGTTTGATGGGGACAGTGTAGAGGTAGCTTTACTCTGTATCCAACTCAGTGCTGTCCCTGTCCTGGGAGTGTTTGATGGGGACAGTGTAGAGGCAGCTTTACCTTGTAACTAACCCCGTGCTGTCCCTGTCCTTGGAGGGTTTGATGGGGACAGTATACAGTTTAAGAGCAGGACGAGTCCTTTTGACATGTAAATATCCATTCACTCCTTGTTTCTTGTTTACCATTTTTGGTTCAGCTCTCAACTACATTTTATAACAGTTGCCCCATGTTCTTAGTGAGATAAATTTAAACTTTCATCTCATCATTTTCAATTGTTATGGGAAGTATTACATTGTTTTTGGTAATTTTCAGATACAGTTTGTTTGAAAGCTAACGGCACTTGAACAACCTCTCACTGCAGGTCATTGTTGAAATGGTTCTGGTGCTGTCTAGACTCAAGCCCTCACTTCACAAACTCTGAAAATGCCCAATGCCTGGATGCCACTCATTGAAAAGTGATGGGGCAACACTTATTGAAAAATTCCATGTGAGCTAAGAATTACACAAACAATCAGTTTACTGTTACCACTTGGGCTGGTCACCACTTTCTGGAAGCTATATTTGTTCATGCGCATGACCTGCCCTTTGAGGGAAAAATACATGACCAAACAGGGGACCTTTTTTGAATTAAACGAAAGTGTGAGGGTCATGTGGCCTGGTGCATTATCCAGGTAATACCTTGACCTGTGGAGGCAATGGTCTAGTGGTATTATCGCTGCAATCTTAATTGAGAGACCCAGGGAATGTTTGGAGACTTGGGTTCAAATCCTGACACAGCAGACAGTTCAATTAAAATCTGGAGTTTAGAGTCTGTTGATAACCATGAATCCATTGTCAAGGGAAAAACCCATCTGATTTAGGGAAGGAAATCTGCCATCCTTACCTGATCTGGCCTACATGTGACTTCAGACCCGCAGCAATGTGGTTGACTGCCCTCTGGGTAATTAGGAATGGGCAATAAATGCCAGCCTGGAAAGTGATGCCCTCATCCTGTGTATGAGTAAAACAAAATCAGTCTGATGTCAGAGATAGTGTCAAACACTCCCTGGACAGGGACAGCATGGAGTTGGATACAGAGTAAAGCTACCTCTACACTGTCCCCATCAAATCCTCCCAGGACAGGGACAACACGGTCCCCATTGAATACTCCCAGGACAGGGTTAGGTAAAGAGTTCATACCTAACAGGTTAGATACTGAATAAAGCTCCCTCTACACTGTCCCCATCAAACACTCCCAGGACAGGGTTAGATACAGAATAAAGCTCCCTCTACACTGTCCCCATTGTAGAGCTCTACACTGTAGAGCTGGATGAACACAGCAGGCCAAGCAGCATCAGAGGAGCAGGAAAGCTGACGTTTCAGGTCTAGACCCTTCTTCAGAAATGGGGGAGGGGAAGGGGATTCTGAAATAAATAGGGAGAAAGGGGGAGGCGGATAGAAGATGGATAAATGAGAAGATAGGTGGAGAGGAGACAGACAGATCAAGGAGGCGGGGTTGGAGCCAGTAAAGGTGAGTGTAGGTGGGGAGTTAGGGAGGGGATCGGTCAGTCCAGGGAGGACAGACAGGTCAAGGGGACGGGATGAGGCTAGTAGGTAGGAGATGGGGGTGCGGCTTGAGGTGGGAGGAGGGGATAGGTGGGAGGAAGGACAGGTTAGGGAGGCAGGGACAAGCTGGGCTGGTTTTGGGATGCGCTAGGGGGAGGGGAGATTTTGAGATTTTGAAGCTTGTGAAGTCCACATTGATACCATTGGGCTGCAGGCCCAGGATGGACATGTCGTCCAAGGAGCGGGAGGGGGAGTTGAAATGGTTCGTGACTGGGAGGTGCAGTTGTTTAGTGCGAACCGAGCGTAGGTGTACCGCAAAGCGGTCCCCAAGCCTCCGCTTGGTTTCCCCGATGTAGAGGAGGCCACAACGGGAACAGCGGATGCAGTATACCACATTAGCAGGTGTGCAGGTGAACATCTGCTTGATATGGAAAGTCTTCTTGGGGCCTGGGATGGGGGTGGAGGGGGGAGGTGTAAGGGCAGGTGTAGCACTTCCTGCGGTTGCAGTGAAAAGTGCTGGTTGTGGTGGGGCTGTTGGGGAGTATGGGGCGGACGAGGGAGTCATGGAGAGAGCGGTCCCTCCGGAAAGCAGATAAGGGTGGGGAGGGAAAAATGTCTTTGGTAATGTGGTCGGATTGCAGATGGCGGAAGTGTCAAAGAATGATGCGTTGGTTCTGGAGGTTGGTGGGGTGGTACGTGAGGATGAGGGGGATTCTGTTTTGGTTATTATTGCGGGGACAGGGTGTGAGGGATGAGTTGCAGGAAATGCGAGAGGCATGGTGGAGGGCGTTCTCAACCACTGTGGAGGGGAAGTTGCGGTCCTTGAAAAACAAGGACATCTGGGATGTCCGGGAGTGGAATGTCTCATCTTGGGAGCAGATGCAGCGGAGGCAAAGGAATTGGGAATAGGGGATAGCATTTTTGCAGGAAGGTGGATGGGAGGAGGTGTATTCTAGGTAGCTGTGGGAGTCGGTGGGCTTGAAATGGATATCGGTTTCCAGGTGGTTGCCAGAGATGGAGACAGAGGGGTCCAGGAAGGTGAGAGAGATGTTAGAGATGGTCCAGGTGAACTTAAGGTTGGGGTGGAAGGTGTTAGTGAAGTGGATGAACTGTTCGAGCTCCTCCTGGGAGCACAAGGTGGCGCCGATACAGTCATTGATGTAACGGAGGAAGACGTGGGGGATAACTGATCCATAACTGATCAGTCACGGTCATCGTCAGAATATATAGCACAGACAAATGTCCTTTGGCCCATCAAGTCTATGTTGGTCAAAACAAGCACCTAATTATTTTAAGACAACAAGGTGCAGGGCTGGATGAACACAGCAGGCCAAGCAGCATCATAGGAGCAGAAAGGCTGACGTTTCGGGCCTAGACCCTTCTCTGCTCCTATGCTGCTGCTTGGCCTGCTGTGTTCGTCCAGCTCTGCACCTTGTTGTCTCGGATTCTCCAGCATCTGCAGTTCCTACTATCTCTGACCTAATTATTTTAATCCCATTTTCCAGCCCTTGGCCCATTGCCTTGTGTTAAATACTGAGAGTGATTAGCTTGTTTTTGTGGTAGTTACTGCTCCTGCGAAGAAATTGATTTTTTTTAACATTTTTTGAACAGGCCTATAATTCACATTCTCTGCGTATGGACTCAGTGATCGGAGAGTTCAGGGTAAGTCAGCAGCGGAAATTCCTGTGGGAATTTGGAAACGACAGTCCCTTCACACTAATCTCTGTGTTTTATTCCCTTTGCAGCTGGACATTGGGGCAGTTTATTCAGAGCCAAGTAAGTGCCTCACCTCCTTAAACCCTCCCTGTATGTCCCTGTCCCACTCACTGCCTTCTCTTGGTTTCCGTTTAGTTCAGTGGGACTCCTGTGAAGTGGTTGGGTCTTGTTTCCATGTTAAATGACTCTATAAATGCCTCTGGAATGACCCCCATGATAATAGAAACTCTTCCAGCTTGGTGTTCCCTCTTCCCACTGGGAGCCGTCTCAGACTTGAGGTGGGATGTAGAGGGGAAGCTGAAGTCTACAGATACATCAGCCCCATGAAATCATCAGCACCCTGGGAGTAGACAGAGAGAGGGAGAGACAGGGAGAGTGAGAGAGAGAGAGAAACACAGATGGAGAGAGAATGAGAGAGAGAGTGTGTGCGTATGTGAGAGAGAGAGAGACGGAGAGGGAGAGAAAGAGAGAGAGCGAGACAGGGAGAGAGAGAGACTGTGGAGAGACAGTGAGAGAGACAAAGAGAGAAAGAGTGAGAGAGACAGGGAGAATGAGAAGGAGACAGAAAGAGAGACAGAGAGAGAAAAGACTGAGAGAGGGACAGAGAGACAGATGGAGAGAAAGTGAGAGAGACAGAGAGAGACAGAGTGAGAGACAGAGAGAAAGAGAGAGAGAGAGGGAGAGGCAGAGATAGAGAGAGAGAGAGACAGGGAGAGTGAGAGACAGACAGAAAGACAGAGAGAAAGAGAGAGACAAAGAGAGAGAGAGAGAGAAAGACAGGGAGAGAGTGAGAGAGACAGAGCAAGAGAGACAATAAAACATCCAGTGGGCCTTGGACCCAAGCTTGGCTGAACATCAGAAAACAGGGAAATGGTCTAGGCCCGAAACGTCAGCCTTCCTGCTCCTCTGATGCTGCTTGGCCTGCTGTGTTCATCCAGCTCTACACCTTGTTATCTCTAATGTGGGGATTGGCTTTTTTTGAACCAGAGCACGTTTTACAGTGGAGTCTCTAGAGGCTAGTACAGGAACCTTATTGGTGTAGTTAAGTGTTTGTTGGTTGGCATATACATAGTGGGCCGAAGGGCCTATTTCTGTCCTGCATGACTCTATGACCTTCATGGCCTAGACTTCGATGTACAGGGCACAATTTCCGAAAATCACATTTGATGCAAAACCTGTCAGTGAAATCTCCTTATTCACCTTCCAAACCCATGACCACTTCCATCTAGAAGGACAAGGGCAGCAGATACATGGGAACACCATCATCTGCAAGTTCCCCTCCGAGCCACTCACCATCCAGATTTGGAAATATATCACCGTTCCTTCACTGTCGCTGGGTCAAAATCCTGGAATTCCCTCCCTAAAGGCATTGTGGGTCAACCCACAGCGGGTGGACTGCAGTGGTTCAAGAAGGCAGCTCAACACCACCTTCTCAAGGGGCAATTAGGGATGGATAGTAAGTGCTGGCACAGCCAGCGACTCCCACATCCCATGAGAGAATTAATAAAAAGCATTATGAACAGCGAGGAAGGTTGTGACAGAATACAAGAGTTGTTGGAATGCACAAAGATATAGCAGGTGATGACTCCAGAAATGTATCAAAGGATACATTTTGGTCAGATGGTTGGAGAGGGCTAAAATAAAATAGAACATCTACCAACTTCAACTGGACTTGTCTCATTTTGCAGAGCATGCCTTTCTCAGGAAATGGCTCCTCCTCTCTGACCCTGATGACCTGGCTGCTGGGGCCAAAGGTTACCTGAAGGTCAACCTCATCGTGCTGGGACCTGGTGACGAAGCTCCTGTGAGTTCAGAATTTCTTTTCAATCACGTGAATTATTGATCATTTTCTCACATTTGCCCCATTTTGTAAATGCCTCCAATGTGGGAGGCTAGGTCCGGTTAGAAACAGCAGTTTAGATGTGATCCATGAGTTAGTAAGACCAAAAAATGTGTTCAACCCTTTAATAATTGGGAGTGGGTCACTGATACTGGAACAGGTTGTGGCACAGAGTGTGTCAATGTCAGTAAAGTTGCGAAGGCAACATCATGATCTCATGTCCAAAGAGTTAGGGAACTCTTTCTTGGATCTTCCTCCTCTTTTCGTCTGTCTTCCACCTGAAGAAGACAACTAGCTGTGAAGCATGGTGAATTGATAAGATCTGTCATTTCACTCTGAGCAACAGTTGATGTGCCCAGTCTGTACCGTCAACTACTGTGAATCCTTCCAGACAATGGACATAGGACAGTTACTCACTGAGGGTAGAAAGGCTCTAGTGACGCAGTTTTAGTACCCCTAGCTCTGGGCCAGACGGCCCAGGTTCAAGATCCAGATGACAAATCCAGAGTTGGGTTCTTCCCAAGGGTGGGGTTGTCTTCTGGACAGAAAAAGGACCCATAAGGAAAAGATAGAAACTGGTGTCCGAGTTAAATTGTAGATTTATAATACAACCTTTGTAAATCTCTGAAAGGGTTTTGCTGCACAAATCAGCAGAGAAGACAAATGCAGAAAACGTCACAGAAACTCAGCAAGCATCCATGGATGCAGAGTTAATGTTTTGAGACTGACATGGCTCTTCTTCAGAACTATTCTGAAGAGGTGTCACCAGACTCAAAACATTAGCTCTGTTCCTCTCTTCGCAGACACTGCCAGGTCTGCTGAGTTTCTGCAGCATCTTTTATGTTTGTTTCAATCTATGAAGATTGTTCTGTTAAACATTATAAACAGATGAGATGACATAGAGAATTACAGGTAAAGTGTTATAGACGAGATATAGGCTGGATTGCATAGAAGGTTACTGGAAAAGTGTTAAAGGAAGGTAAAGGTGATGGATAATTACATGAGATATGTTATAGACAGGTAAAGGTGAGAGATGATACACAGGGATACAGATAGAGTGTCATAGACAGGTAAGGGTGAGAGATGATATACAGGGATACAGATAGAGTGTTATAGACAGGTAAAGGTGAGAGATGATATACAGGGATACAGATAGAGTGTTATAGACATATAGACAGGTAAAGGTGAGAGATGATATACAGGGATACAGACAGAGTGTTATAGACAGGTA